AACCCGACCTCTGGTTCCCAGACGCGGTGGTTAACGCAGACGCGTCAACCATACACTACCGGCACCCCAAGCACACAGACGGAACCATGGGAGGGAGGCCCCGGTAGTTGCAGGGAATCGATAACGGAAGAGCAGAAGCGCTGACCAGCCGGCCGGCGCTCGCCACCTCCGCATGTCACCGACCACTTCCTGCCCTATCGACCGCCCCGCAAACTGCGCCGGCCGCCTGGATTCCCGGCACTGCTGACGGCATGTTGACAGGTCGCGGGGGACCGCGGCACGGACTGCCGTAATTCACGGTATGGCGCTGACGTGATCCTGAGTTGACAGGCGAGACCGAGAAACTAAGCACGTGGCGGCCGAGGCGGCGTCACGCAGGTGCATGCTGGTGGGGAAAGGCTGACACCTGCCTGGACCACGGCTATGCTCCTCAGCTAGATCATACTTGCACGCATAACCCCTGCGCTAGGTTGACCTTGCAGATCCCAGTTAAGACCTTGCCGATGCATCGACGGCAGGTGCCGCGATATCGCTCGCTTCGCACATGCGATCGTGCGTCAGGGTTTCTTGTCTGCCGAGGTGTGATGCACCACACGGCAGCACGGGATGCGCCAATCAGCAGGCCTGTTTTCGGGCCGAGTCGCTCTCACGATCTGACGCCCCTCCCCTCCTATCCGCCCTCCGCGCGTCGCCACTCACCGATGTTGACGATCTTTATGTTCTCGTCGCGCTCGAGGAACTTGAGCGCCACGGACACGTTCTCCAGCTTCTGGGAGCGGAAGGTGGGCCGCTTGCTGTGCTTGGGCATCCGCTTCCCGCTGAGCACCTCGATGAGGGAGATGAGCACGAGGCCATCCTCGAGGTCCGTCTCCAGCGAGTAGATGTGCTTGCTGGCGTTCTTCAGGTGCTCGTTGGCCCAGCGCGTGAACGTGTTCTGCTGGATGCGCTTCCACTGGGCGTCCTCGGCGAGGTCACGCTCCTCGGCCAACATCTCCTCCTCCTCGGGCTGGTCGCGCTGCGGACTGGCCGCGTACGCCTGCTCGTGCCCGTTTGAGGCCCATGGTGCGACGGTGGCGCTAACTGTAGGCAAAAGCGACACCGCGGTCAGGTAAGCCGGTCACTCGGCGGTGGGACACGGCAGCCGGGTCTCTGGGGGGGAGAAGGGGGGGGGGGGAGGGGACCCACCCTGTCCCGCCCCGCGGGTCAGTGCCGCAGGCGTGGTGACCGGAGCTCACACGGGGTCATCCCCGGCCCCGCAGCGGACACGTGATGCGTGACCGATCTGCCTCGTCCACGCCGGCAGCCATGCCGAGGCGTTCCCGTTGACCCGGAGATGAGTGGCGCGCCTCTTCATCTCCAGTCAGCGAAGGAGACGCTCAAGCGGTAAGGGATATTAATGACCCGAGCACCGGTAGTGCCGGAGAACGGTCACGAACGGAAATGTTCGGGCTTTCCCCGAGTCATTCGTTTGGACGAAATAAGCTACCGTGGACAGTCAATCAACACACTGACATGTGTTTAGTAGCAGCAGAGGCTATTTAATCACGTGAAGTGCATAATGCTGTGGCAGCCCCATAAACTGTACCGACGCGCTTGACGTACGTGCATAATTACAAGGCAGAAATCGGACATGACGCACAGTTTGACGCCATGCGCGAACTTAGCGCTCACTCCAGGCGTGCCAAATCACGGCCAACAACCCTGCAGTTCCGGCTTTGTAATCACCGGCAGACATAAATCTCAGAAACCATCATCGCTGTCTCCGAGAACGCCGTCAACATTGCAAGAACACTCACGCCGCAAACGATCAGCACTATTTCGCTCGGAACCTGGTGCTTGTGAAATACACGACACCACAATACGTTTCTTTCTCTTGCAACTGGGTCATCGAGGATCGCTTCAAACTACACTACTTGAGTATGAAACGATTGGATCCTTCTTGGTAGTAAATCATACACATCAGATGCTGCGCTAATGACTACCACGCCATCAGCGGGCTCATGCTACTCTGGAATCGCCTTAAGTACGAAGTCCATGGGCTGGCACGCACCGATTATCTCTAACCCCAGGCCTCCGCGACGGACGATCCACTGAGACCCTCCCTGACCTTCCCTCGTCCTGGCCGTCGTCGCAAGCCCCCCCCCCCCCCCGCCCTCTCGTTCGCGCCCCTCCGACATTTACAATGACGTCACACTTGGTCGCCGCCCGAGCACGCGGGCAAAACGGCGGATTGCGCCGAGCACGCGCTGGGCGCGGAGGGCCGCGCTCGGCGAGCTCAGCACGCGAGTGCGCGCACACCGGCTCGGGTCAGGGTCACGGCGAGGGTCGCCGTCGGTGCTGACGGAGTCCAGCCACACGCACGCCACACGAAAACAGCCGAAACGCGCCGGTGGCAGACGACAGCGCTGGCACGCGGCCAAGTCACGGTTGGCGTGGCGTGCGGGCCGTCTGTGGACGGAGCGGCCAGCGTCAGCGGAGGCCGCTTGGTCGGTTGTCGGTGTTTGTCGCTGCCCGATGAGCGAATGTGTGATAGGAGCACAGAGGTGATCCGCCGCTGGACCCGGAGGGCTGGAAGGAGAAGCTCTCGGTGGGTGGTGGATCCGGAAAGAAGCTGACGGGCTTTGGGTGCAATCATCTCGGGTCTCAGAGACAGACAGCATGGACAACTGTGGCAGAGGAATCCGCTGTTGTCATCGACAAGGACAAAGGACACCGCGGAGGGGCAATGAACAGGGCAGAGAGACAATCACATGTTTTCCTCCTCAATATTTTAAGTCTACTTTTGCCCAAAGTGAAGGGTTTTGTGACTACAGAGCTGTTACGTGGTACCCCTAACACACACCACTGAGCCGCAGTCGGGGGGAAGGGGAGGCCGCCACTGCACCCCCTGCCCCCCCCCCCCCCCACACTCTAGATCGGACACCGCTCCTAGTAATAAACCCACCATGAAGGCTGAAGGACATGAAAAATGCTTAGGCATTGCCACGCCACAGCACGGAAACCCTGTTTACAGTCATAACACTGGCCCCTCGGAAATGCAGAGGCATAGCAACACCAGTGGCGCTCTATTTGACACAATGCCAAGCACATCTTAGCATCGCGAAACCAGTGAAACCCGTCTCATAGCCCTCATTGAGCATCATAGGGAGCAGCGCACCAGCGCACACGGCCTCGCTCTGCACACCACTCGTCAGGTCACCGCGGCAGCCGCCCTGCCATGCAGACCGGCATGACGTCAGCATCGCCGGTGGCCGGGCTTCCTGTCCTCGTTACTGTGCTGTGTGACTGTGTGACTGTGTGCACCAGCAGTGCACAATGAGCCGTCACGAGTGCAACCTGACCCGGCCGGCCAGCAGCGGAGCGACAGACCGCGCCCGCAGCGGGATGTTTGGGAGCGCGCGAGACAGACCCCCCCGCTGCCGCCCGCCGGGAACGGGCGTCATATGGAGCCGCACGCCGCTGCGGCGCCCGTCTGCTGTGAGTCATGCGCGCACGTTGTCACCGGGGAGATATTTCGCCTGCGCCAGTCAACAGTATGGCTGTAGTCTGCTGGCGCCCGGAACCACGCCAGCGGCCGGCCAGGCGGCCCGACTAGGCGCCCGGCGCGCCGTCACGTGACGCGTGTGACCCGATCTCCGAGGCGCGTGCGCATCCCACGGACGTTAGCCACCGGCCGCGTTTGGCATGAACCGGCATGGTCAATATGTATGGCTCAGTGGTGCTGCTATCCAAGCCAACCGAACAAACTACTCTTCCAAAAATAGCATGTTTGAGAAGCAGTCACTCGACGCGCCGTCTTACCAACACCCTCACATGCAATGCTTTCAAAAGGTTCATGTGAGTCAGCTCTGTTCCACTTGGCCAGATACTCAGCTTTGAAGGATAAGTGATAGTGGGAGACAAGAAGATAAAAAGATGGAAGAAGAAAAAGATGGGAGATAGTAAGATAAAAGATAAGTGGGGAGTGTCCTGAGAGAGAAAACTGTGTTTTTAACCCTTCAACAAACTAAAAAGGCTTTCTCCAAATTTAACTCACTTTCCTCTTCGCGCCGGGGAAGTTGAAGTCCCTTCAAACTGAATAGGAAACTACACCCTTAAGCTGCGCCCACATTACTGGTGTACTCTGTGTTCTTCATCCGTGGATAGGCCTCTGCGCCCAACCGACGCCCCAGCACTGCGAGTCATGCGCCTACGAGAGGTCAGGCCGGGCTAGCCCGTGATGCCCGGGGACCGCCCAGCCGTGACTTCAGGACAGTGGTGGCCATAACTCGCCGCGCACTACGACAACGTGTGGGACGCACTCGATCTGGCATCTGTTATCTGGTGTGCATCATATACAAGGTGGCTTGCTACATATCAAGTAGTCTACCTTGTGCAACTGCTGAATTGAATAACATTTCTTGCATATCTCAACGTTCTAAACAGGTTTTTCAGCGAGACTAGTTTCATCAAACAAGCCTTAAGCAGAAGCGCACGCGGGGAAGACTACGTGTTCTTTAGATGAAATTTCTATCTGCACGAAACACCAGCACACAGTTAAATCCCGCGGGTCCATTCCAGGACAGAAACTTCGTAACATTATTAGAGTGCACAGAGACGACTCACAACCAAACAACGGTTGCCAAATTAATCAGGAGAATGTGTCACCACCTTCTAAGCAGCTGACTCAAACGCCACTTCTCGGAAAGGCCAATGCCTTTAAAAATTAGGCTTTTGGAACCGCTGGCGATCTTAGGGCACATTGTTATATTGTTCACTACTGTTCACTGGAACGTAAGAGGAGATTGTCAGGGCTAGTGGTGTAGCCAATATTTCGCCTAGGGGGGAAGGGGGGGGGACCAAATCGGATCCCTGTAGGGGCTGTGCAGCCAAAAGCGTCCCTCTTCGTTGCTACAGGAACCCGGTTTTGGGATTTAGAGGGTCTTTGTAAGTTTGGGACCCTATGTGAATGCCTCAGATGACATCTGAGGCATTATCTATATGACTACTTATATGACTACTATATGACTACTTGACTACCCTATATGACTACTTGATATAGACTACTTGATATGACTACTTGACTACTCAGATGTCCGTTTTTGGATGTTTGATAAGCCCTACTAGCGTTAAACAGCTAAACAAAGCACCAGGACGTTCGTCCCAGGGACCCCGCCACCTCCAGGGGGTGGCTATAGCCCCAAAAACATCCCCTTGTCTACGTCACTGATCAGGGTTAAAAAACGGCAAGACCCCTGGAAAGAGACTTCTGTGCGCCTGCACTAAGCCACAAGTCACGCCGCTGGGCGACGCTTCTTGCCACGTGAGCGTGACTGCCTTCGCACTTCAAACACGGCTTGCGCGCTGCGGGCCAGTCCATCAAACGCCGCGGCAGTCACGCGTATTGAAAGGATTCAGAGCTTGTACGTAAGTGAGGGCTTGAAGCGACTTGATGCATCCTGTTCAAGGAAGTGATGTAAAGTCAAAATCAGGCAATAATTATCGCCCATGATGAATGATGAGTCAGGTGAAATCGAGAGCGTGACCACCAACGCCAGGCAACGGCGTAGTTGTACGCTTCCAGCCTCACTTTGGTCACGCTCTATTGCTGCATCGTGTGTTGTCCGCACGGGGCTGTCATCCTCATGACACCACATGAGGTCACTGGAAGGTGAGAACATTCTCATATTATCCTCTGTTGAATGCGTGGAGACGCACATACAGCTGACTTTCCCCAGTACCGGTTTCAGTCTACTATTAAGGGAAATGCTCATTTTTGTTGTGGCCTTACACAAGTTAATCATTGACGCGCAACTACAATAATTAGATGCAAACGGTTGCAGATGAACAGCAACACCTTGTAGCTCTTAATTAGAACACAGAGAACCGAATGTTCTAGCTTGGATGTAATTCGGGTTGAGTGCAGCTCATTGGTTCGACAATTCTTTATCTCCCTTTATCAAAATTATACCCGTGTTGAGCACTTGTGATAATTCCCCAGAACGGAACAGCAGCGTCAAGAAGTCATCCAGGAATGGGCAATGTACAAAGCAAAACCACCGCGTATTCTTTAGACATGGGACACCAGATTTGGAGCAGGC